ATGAGCTTAAGTTAACGAAACTAAAGGCACTTCAATAAAAGGCAAGAAATGGCATATTCCGATAAAAGGATACGACACGAAATTAGTACAAATGTACACAAGTAAAAGATAGGCTATGACGGTCTTAGGAGATCACTACGTCGAACTACCATTGAAATGAGCAGGGTCTCGCCCTGGGTAGAGGACCGAGCCCGCTTTGCAGTCCATTCTCCAGTAGACTCCCCGCTTGCCTCCTCCGCCGGCTTCATCACGCCTCCTGAAAAAAGGTTCCCAGATGAGTTGCACGGCGTACGTCACCCTTACTCGCCGCCGCCATGAGGCGCGGCTTACAAAGCTCTACAGAACTACTCCATTACTTTTTCATCAAGATAGCTGTGATACTGCGGCTAGCACAGTGAAACTGTCATTGTAGGACCTGAACCAGTACGTTTCCATTATTCCAACATTGTTTCATCTCTTTTATTCCAGGCAGTGTTCTCTTTCTGGCAGTCCTCAACCAGAGTCGTGGCTGGAATTGCGGGTTTCGAAGTTCGCAAAGTTGGCGGCTTTCCCGGTTGTGGTGCGATGTGCACGGGAGAAACCGCAGGGAATATTACGTACTGAACGAGAGTTTCGGCAATGGTTCAGGGTAAGGAACACTTCTTTTTGGTGAAATCCAGTTTTTCACTTCATAATTTCAGCGTAATTCGCTAAAGCCTGAATTATCAACTGCGGGCGAATACGTGGTTCAAGAGTATATTGAGGACGGTCACGAATTCACTGCATTATGTACTGCTAAAGGAGGATTGGTTGGTATGTCGCCATTCCTACCTCATAAAAAACGCGCCTAGAATGAAAATAAATAATCAACGGTTTACGAAAAATGAGTACCTTGGCATCTTGCGTTATAAAAATGGGGTCCATAGAAATCAAAAGGGTTTTGCAATCAACGCCAAAATGTGACACGTTTGTCCCTGCCCCAGGAAGTCTGAAAATTCAGGTGATCTGTGAGGGGATTCCACCTTTGTCAGCCAAGTGGTTGCTCTATACTGCCTGTTTTGAGGGCCAAAGAGTTTTGGTTTGAATGCCGGTGCTTCCAAGCCAAAGCACGCAATTGCATATTGTGGGAAGTATCGTTTAATAATGGACCTATAAAGATCAAGCGACCTTCCAATCAAGAAAGAGCAAAAAACTTGTGGAGAACCATCGCTGAAGCAATTGCCTTGGCAGGGACTGCATCGTACTGGTTGTGTGGAGCTGCTTCCATGCCTGCGGAGCGATATCCAGCCGCTCCTGGCTCGAAAACATGGTGAGAAGAGTGAACTTGTGACAGAAAGTAGCCTTTGAAGGTTTTCGAGGGCCGGCGGACCACGTAGAGAGGAGTCGGAACAGGTACCTATGAGGGCCGCGGAAGTGGGACAGCCTTGAAGACTGAGCCAGACTACTTCTGCAAGGAGGAACGCATAGGTATTGTTTGAGCGCGAGGAGTATCTTTAGGCCACAAACGAAGTCAGCGGCAACTCGGCTGCTGAGTTCATTCCGTTTTAGTTTCGAGCTGCTTCGCCATTTATGGAGTCGAGAACTTTTTATTGCGTGTAACTAATGGCTGGCAAAAAAAGGTTCAACGAGAATTGAGCAGGCAGCGGATCCTGGCGCATGGCATCCGGCATTCAACTCTTTGAACGAATATCCAATATACTCCGTAGAAAATAACGTTGTGTAATTTACTAACAGAGAGATGAAATTATCTACAACAAGGTACTTCCCACTTGCGAAAAAAAAGTTCTTGTTGAAGCATCTGCCTTTATACTCTTTGCTCGTGACACTTACATGATAATGATCTTTGTAGCATGCATCGCTTCCGTGGAAACTCACCGAACAATTCTTGAATGCATTCAAAGTCAGCTCCCATACGCCGTTCAGCTGTTCAGTGTGGAGCAAACACGAGATCATCTGCCTGGTGTGGAATCGTTTGCTACCCAGGTAAAATAAGAGGATAGTCCGTATTACAGTGATAGAAGGAGGCGTGTCCAGGATTTGGTTACGAGTGCAGCGGCTCCAAGAGCAAGACTCAGGCAGGGATGGAGGCTATGTGCTTACCAAAGGTAGACACTGCCAGACTTGTCACCCTTTCCTGCCTGAACCAGCAACTTTTTTGTTCACATAGACCCAATGCTGTCACTGGTGTGGAGCTTTATTTCTAGCCGCGATACCAGCTCGGCAAGTAATAGGTCGCATTTTCCTAGCTATTCATTAAAGAGGCACCAAAAGAATGAGTCTACTTGAAAGATGTAGATACAGAGCAAGTAGAGAGAATCGGAACACGTAGCACTGTTTCGTTAAATGGATTGGACCCCACTTGCGATGCCTATATTGCCTCTTTTCTACGACTGGGACCTAACACTCCTCACCCGAATAGAGGAGTGAGGCAAAAACCAAAGGGTCACTTCGACCGAGTTCTGGCGAAGTGTGCGGGAGTGTAGACGGCCGGTGGAGAAGACGAGATGAGAGAAGAGAAGTGAAGTGTTTATTGTGAACAACCGCCCCTTTTATAAGGCAATCACAACAATCATTATCACTGTATTTGTTGATGATCATAGTCTTCTCAGGAATAACACGGTCGGTTCGGTAAGGTTCATAGAGAGATTCTCTATACTCCGGGGCGGGCGTTCTTGCAGGTTGTCGTCTGCTTCGTCTTTGTGATGAATCTGTGATTATTATTCCAGCTTGCACGCGATGATTCTTTCTTCGGTGGTTCAGTGATTTCAATGTCTTCTGTGTCTTCTAATCTTTGATCTTCCTTATAGTGTGTGTGCTGACGCGGTCTTAGATTATAGTGGTTGTCCTGCTGTTGAAGGCTTCTACGGCTGGTTGTCTCCTCGTTATCGTTTCCGGTTTTTGTTCTTTCTGTTGTTTCTGGAGCAGCTTCTAGTTCGTCTTCAAGTTCGAGTGGAACAAGGAGGTTACAGGTCGTCGGATAGTATGTCCATTTGGTAGTCTGATGTGCGCCTCGCAAATCCCTCCTTTTGTTGAGCAAATCACAACGTGTATTCGTCCTATCTTCCAAGAGTTCCGCAGAAGTACTTGATCAGAAATAAGTACCACAGTGCCTCGTGCTGGTTTTCTCTGGGTTCCGGTTTTGCCCATTCATCAGCAATTTGTGTTTTTTTTCCGTAGGCTTGTGAGATACTGATTCCTCCATATTCTCCAGCCGAAATACAGAGAATCTCTCTATGAACCTTACCGAACCGACCGTGTTATTCCTGAGAAGACTATGATCAACAACAAATACAGTGATAAATGGTTGTTGTGTTTGCCTTATAAAAGGGGGCGGTTGTATCACTTCTCTTATCTCGTCTTCTCCACAGGCCTTCTATACTCCCGCGCACTCTTGCCACTCTGGAATACTACATACGTGAGCCACCCACTTGCGATGCCTATATTGCCCCTTTCTAGGATGGGACCTAACACTCCTCATCCGAATACAGGGGGGGGCAAAAAAAAGTCACTTCGACCGAGTCACATATCAGCAAAGTTTTCGCTGCCCAGACAGAGGACGTGGATACGAGTACCAGGGCGGAAGATACCCAAGATGTTCCTCGATAAGCAGGAGCTGGCTCTCGCCCATCACCTTCATGTACACCAAAATATGAAGTCATCTCCAGTCGCAGCCTGACTGGAGAATTCATGTCACCTCCAAACAGCTGCGAAACTTCTAGTATGGAGTCACCCATGGATAGCTACCTGGAGACCAGTACTCTCGATCTGGATGACCTCCAACATCGAGCAGCTCCGACAACGTCGCCACGGTCTAGGACATCATCTTCACCACAGTCGCCAAGGCGCGGGTTGATGGTATGGACCGGACGTACCTGGAATGGAAAGACCAATATTTTCTTCGGACCCCGGACTGAAGGTGAGCGCTGGCGGTTACATTGAGCAACTCGTGAAGAATATCCTCCTCACATGTCGTCGCCCGTACCTTCTTGGAAACTTTGTACTGCTACAGCATTGGGTGCCACCACATGGAATCGAAGGGCGTTGGAGAAACTCTCGCCTACATTTGAATGGAAGGGGGCTGAGTACATAAGAAGATGAAATATCCAAGTAGGTCAACTGACCTGAATCCCCTCAATTAGGAGAAATCGGCTATCTCGCTGATCTCAGGCACCACATCGCGGTCGCGTACTCGTCCAGAAGGCTGTGGCGGAGTGTCATGATAGTATTTAATATGCTCTTTAATATGGTGGTAAAATGTCCGATCAGAATTCAATAAAGTGTAACTTATAGCGCCTCGAAAGTCAATGAAGAAAAGTGACTTTTTTGACCGCTCCCCGTATACCTCCCCCCTATTCGAGATATGGAGTGTTTATGTACACGAAAAAGTGAATACGGGGCGATCAAGACTGTTGTCATAGTTCAGTGTGGCTGCCTTAGAATAACAACGGCAATTTCAGGTGATTAAAGCGACCTTTGCGAAAGGCTATACGGGTGCTATATTTATCAAAGGTTTCTATAAGGTATGCAAGAATTTTCACTTTGCGCATTGATGCACTTCTATCTTTTGCCCTCAGGTCTTCTAAATGGGAAGTCCAAGGCCAGAGTAGGAATGCACTGATGATTGGGTAGATTGAATTTGTTTATTCTCTCCAAGGGACTAGGGCTAGCTTTTCCTCTGGGTGGGAACCAAAAACCATGAAATGTAATAGGGAGTGGAATCAATTCCATCTATTATTTTTATATGTTGCTTCTAGGACCATAACGATATTTTCTTCCTTGGATTTGCGCTAGAGCCAGAATCGGAAACGCTCCGAACGTTGATGTCCATATCGCGGTCGCTAACACCGTGGGAAACGGTGGTGATCGAGAGCCATTACGACTCTGACGACAACTTCCAGGTGAGAAAAACAACAAAACCTCATGACACAAACACACTAATAAGTCGTAAAGAGCTCCTTGCCTCAATCACGTTGACAAGGAACACGACCAGTGAGTACATCCCTCTATCGATGGGCAATGCAATTGAATCAAGATTTTTTAGATGATTTATTTTCGAGCTAGTTCCCATTTTGAGGTGCACGATCCCTGCACTATCGCTGTTTCTTCAATACGCGCGTTTTTTCGCTTTTAGCCTGCTAGATTTTACAGTCCTTCTCGTCAGTGTACTGTTTTTTTCTGAACTGTTCTCTCAGGGAAGTTCTCTTCCAGTCCTAAAGATAAGCCTATTAGCATGAACACCTAATGCGACCAATGCGAGTATACCAGAACTCTCTACATA